AGCAGTGTACAAAACTGCAACATTTTACTCAGGAAAGGTAGCAAAGTTTGTTGGGTTTTTGTTTTTGTTTTTTTTAGTTTTTGCAAACAGGAAATAAACTGCTTCCAGTCTCTCCATCCCTCACAAACCTTGGCTCCTCCTCACCCTCACTTGTTGGGTCAGTTGTTCTGGTGACCGCTACCCCAACTGCTGCTTTCCAGGCTGCATCATTTGCTTTCTCTGTATCTGAAAGGCAGGAGAAAGGCAACATTTGTGCAAAGAACCTAGGGAGTCCAAACCTGCATTTTACACAAATCCCTTGCAAGTGCAAAGCCTGAGACACTCTGTTAACAGTTTTCAAATAGGAAATAGTCACCATGCATTTTCCCACTCACCTTAGACAAACAGGCCTTAATAAGACAAGAAGTTACACCAGAGGATGCAGAAAAGGAAATGCCTAAGAGCAGCTAAGCAGTTCACATAACTTAAAACCCTTAGTAAGCAGAGCAGCATCATTTGGAGCAGTATCATCCATTACTTGAAACACATGCACAAATAAATTACAAGGCAAAGGATGCAAGACCATGACCCTGAAGCTGTAATCTAAATATATGTGAACATGCACAAACATGTGCCAAAAAAAAGTGACATAGATAGGAGTTAATCAACTTTAAGACTTCAATTGATTACTTTATTCTTTTTTTTACATTAAAAAATTACAACATAACAAGGGTTTGAAAAGCCAAGTAAACCTGATTCCACACACACACACTTGCTAAGTCACAGGGTTCAACTGCTGGAAGTGATATTTTCTGATTTTCATCAGGGTATTTCATTAAACAACATACACATTAAGAGCCTCATGAGAAAGCCAGACACATTTATTTATTTATTTATTTTCCCCCAATCTTTTGGATGCGCAACCAAATACACAAAGATTCCTGTGGAATTCCCAACTTTCCCCTCAGTTACATGAGACAGAGTTTTGTTCATTTGACTGCAATTATCCTTAGATGTGTCCACCCAGAAATCCTCCAGTATTACACACCATCTCCCCCAAGCAAAGTGAACATAGTACATAATATTGCACAGTTTTGTTCGCAGGGCCATAGGTAAGAAGTGGATCCCTTAGTAATTTCACCCACCCAATGGGATAAAAACCTGGTGAAGCTGGAATCAAGATGCCAGTTAGAAAGAAATGGAGAAGCAGGTCACTGAAAAAAAGAAAGTTCAGCTTCTGTAGTATGTAAACTTTGTAATGCAAGATTCTTCAGCACGTTCAACTGGTTGAAGTGGGAGAGATCACCAGTGCTACTGGCAAAGCAAAAGCAAGAACAGGACATTTTTAAGGCAAATCCCAGAACAGGGAGCTATTCACTTTCTAGGCACGTTTTCAAGCTATGCATCAAGGCTCCTGCTTTATCCTTTATATTGTCAGTAATTTATAGAACAGGTTAACGATAATACAAAAAATAGTCTAAATGTCATTTTTCAAGAATTCACTGTTAGCTGAATTTCATTACTTGCACACTTACCAACATTTCTTAGCACTACTGTTGTTTGTCAGGCCTGCATAAAGCAGTTCTAGATCTATATTGCTCTCATTTTGTTAAAGTAGTTTTGGTTGGAAAACAGCTAAATTCAAAATAATTCCTTCTATTGCAGATCCTTCTACATTTAAGATCTGTTGGACTCCGAAAAAGGCAACATCCCTCATTCCTCTTTGTTGGAGGGATCACTAAGTTAAGAGCTCTCCTTCTGTGAAAAGTCTGTACAACAAGAAAAAGGGGCAGAGCAAGACTTTCAAAAGACAACTAGTTTGGGTTCATTAACTCCAATCTGCAGTACATTCATTTTTATCTCACACAAGAGGATACTTACCCTCCTGGTCCCACTTACCCCTGCACAAAGGGCTAGGCACAGTTCTCAAACACCTTAAGATCCTCTAGAATCAATGCACTAAGAACTGGAGGTGCAGATCTGAGGGCAGAATCTGGCCCACAGCTGCTAGCTGAAAGTGTTGTTTACTGAAGATTTAGAGCTTACCTAAAAATGCCAAATGAGACTAATACTGCCAAACACAAGCAATGCTTTTGTGAGCCTGGGAAGACATTTGGCAGGGGTGTTAACAGTGCCTCTGATGTGCTGCTGCTGTGTGCACCTGTCCTTTGAATCACTTGCATATGAGGAATGTGTGCCTGAAGTGGGACACAAGAGTACAGGCTCTGGTTATTAGGACAAGCTGATATATAAATTACAACTGAACAAACCACTAGTCCCTGAAAACTGGATTTAGAAGGCTAGGTCTCATTTGAGATCAACTTTCACCATAATGCTCCTCCTTATGATTGACAACTGCACCTAAGTCTATAGTTTTTTTTATAAAAAAGCCACACAGGTAATTCCCCAAACATTTATCAAATAAAAAGTGTTTAACAAAAACGGATAATTAATCTCATAAAATAAATTACAGTAGCATGACAACATTTGGCTTCTTTAGTGTGACCACGTGCTTTTCCTTTGTTATCTTGCTGCAAAGACCATTACAGATCCAGTTCATGTCTCTGAGAGTTAATGAGATGTCTGTGATGAGAAACGTATAAAACTCTGCTTGCTACAAGCAAATGTCTGGTATCAGTTTCACCTGGTCACAGATTATATGCAGACAGCCTCCTCTGGCCCCAAATAAATAGAGTATTCTTGCAAGTTCCAGCATTGTTAGACTCAAACAGAAAACTCAGGTCCTCCTTTCTTTGCTCTCAGCAGCAGTCTCCTGACAGGAAAGCCTGCAAAGGGGTTGATCCAGAGGAGGGAAGGCTGCCCCCCAAACACCGACTTCATCCCTTCCCAGCGCAGCCTCCGCTCCCACGTTGGCTTCTCACTCTTCAGTCTTTCAATCTCCTGTGCACAAAGACATGCAGTGAGGCACTGGTGAGGCTGAAGTTACTCAAGTCTGATAGTTATAAAACCTGAGGACAGTTTTGATGTACAGCTAGTAAGCTGAGCAGTTTCTTACTGTTATTCATTTTGTAAGGAAGAAATAAAAATGGGTGATTTAACCTCATGGGTTAGAAGACCTTGAACACAAAACGTGTACAAAAGGCTGGTCTACCTCTACCTCTTCCCCCCTCAAACTAAAAGACAAAATGACCACACAAGCTGAGACTACAGGAGGGGATGTGCAGGCCATTCTCCTACACTAGAAGTTGTTTACTCAGTTAATTAAACCAGACAACAAGGTTTCCAGGAAGGCTCTTGTACTGCAATTATTGAAGCCAGGCTTGCTCTCCCAAATGCATTATTTTGATGATCACTTTTTCTATTTCCCATTAATGAAGGCTGCATATTTACCAACTGTTTTCCAAACTTACTCTACAGTAGAGAAGTACAGTTTTAAACAGCCTCATGTGAGAAAATTCTGGCCATCCACAAGATTCAAATTCCTTGTTTCCAGTCAATTACAACACATTCTCTCAATAACTAACACTGCAGATCTAAGGGCAGGGAGCCAAAGGTCCAACCAAGGTTACTCTCTAATAAAATGTATCAAAATACACGAAAGTGTGAAGGATTGATACAAGGTAGCTAGTTTAAGTGTAAACCTGAAAAATTAGATATTTCTCAGGATATGTATCAGGAGTTTGTGAACTCCAGCCCAAACTGAAGTCAGAAGCTGTGCAATCTTTAATTGTATTACTAGGTTTTCAATTACAGTGTCAGAAAAGCAAAAAATGCAAGAGCTTCTGTGAGAAAGCCAATCCCAAGAAATTATTTCCATGCCTACAACTGCAGAAAATAAAAGCGAGGAGCTAATCTAGATCTGGGGTTTCCTCCAAAATCAGAGCCTCTCCTCATGCAAATAAAACAGCATCTAATCACATCTTCCTAGATTAATTGCTACAGTATAGAAAAGTAGAGGTCCTTACTGTTTCATCATTGCATATTGAGTGGATTTGGGTGCCAAACATAACTGCAGTGAAAGTGAGAAACAGAAAACCCTCAAGGCACAAGAAGATCATCAGGATCACAGTTACGGGTGGGGAGAAGTCACTGCATTCTGTGAAAACAAAATATGTACTTGTAAAAAAAAATAAATACAAAAATCTCTACGTTATGTTCATACTGAGCCATCCCACCTTCAATAACAGCAACAAAAGCCAAGTATCTGACCCTTGAAACAGTATTTCACAGTTAAAAAAAATATATCTAATTTCTAGCACTACAATAGCTTTATTTGCTGCCCAAGGAAAGACAACATTTGAAGGAACTAACACTTTTGGCTTCCTGCAAAGCACATGGTGCTGCATCACTGCAATCCTGCCTCAGTATTTCAAGGATATCAAATATACGCTTGCACAAGGCCATTTAAGTACTTAGAACTGCACACATATAAAGATGAGGGCAGCTTGAAGTTTCATGCATGATAAATGCTGTAAAATCCATCACCACTGGCAGCTCTAGTTAATCCACATGTTCCATTTTGCTTTATTATTTCTTTTTTAATTCACCACACAGATTAATCAGGTTCTGACCTACACATACAAGGGAGATCCTCTGATCAACTGATTCATTCAATTACAGTTAAAGAAAACTAAAATGGGATAGTATCTAGGAAGGTTTCAAGTCCAAAAAGGACCAAGAGTCCACACAATTGCCAGAACACTCAGCAAAAAACAGTCACATGGATTCTCCTGTTGCTTCAGGTACCAGAAGAACATATGACCCTCTGCCAAAAGCACAGGATCAGGATGAGCTCTGGTACACCAGAACATTAAGAACACAGCAAGTCAGAGCCCTAAACAAACAACTGGGACAATTTAGGCAATTTCTTTTCTACAGGAGCTCCACAGTTGGCTCTGGTAACAGAACGAGGGGAGAAATTTGTTTCAGTTTCAGCTGTCACCCACAGAATTGTGGTGGGACACACAAAGCCCAGCTGGCAACTTCAGGTAGTAAGAGGGCTGAGGACCAGCTGACTGTCTCCGTGCTCCTAGAGATGCAGTAAATTTTTACTATGTGGAAAGAGAGTGAGGATGTCCTTGACAGCCACAGCTCTTAGAGTGAATGGCTAAAAGGAAAGAGGGAAAAAATCATCCAAACAATCAACCGGGTATGAAATATTTTCAGGACCTCACTTTAAAAAGATGGAAGTCCTGTAATATTTCACACACAGACTTTCCCTCAGTAGCTGCTAGATTATGACAGTGAAAGTGAAGTAGCTGCTTACCAGTCCACTGCCCTCGGACACAGGAGAAAAACTGAAACCCACACAGTATGAGAGCATGAGCTGAAATTAGGGCTATATACATCTGGAAATAAAGAGAGAGAGAGGGTTTACTTTTGCCTGCAGCCAGGTAGCACACCAGACATTCCATTCAGCCTTCACCACTGCACAGCAAATACACCTCCCTATTTCAATTTTTTAATGCAATGATGCAAAACCAAATTCTAATTAAGTTTGAATCTAACAATGTAGGCAATAATGAAAGCCTAAGGATTAGCTCCCTAGATCACAGTACCATTGTAGTAATTGTTACTACATACAACACAGCAAAATGAAAACAGCTTAAAATAACAGCACTTTAAAATGAGGAGGAGTAGAAATATCTTCCTGCTTGGAGAATATTGGCACAGAAGGAAAAAACCCACCAACGTGAAAAAACTGAGCCCTTACTACTAAGCATAACCAAAATATTTATAATCAAGGTAGGTTAACACTGAGATCAGGCTGCTGTTGATTTTCACTCACCGTAAACAGAACAAAAAATCTCTGATTTTTCTCCCCCACACAGTTATTCACCCAAGGGCAGTGATGATCCATCTTTCGAATGCATCGTTTGCAAATACTGAAAGGAAAGGAGAAGAGATTTCTCTGGGGAAACAGGACTTTGCATTTTACTGCAGAAACAAGGGTATGCAGGGGTCACAAGGGGATGTGCTGGAATCTTTCTTGACAAACTCCAAACAATTATTTTATTTGCATGTCTTTAAAAAAAACCAAACACCTATTTCCACACTCACAACTCAGCTTTTGGTTGATAGAAAAGTAACTGTGAACTTAAGGTACTCTTGACATAGGAGAAATAATATTAATGAGAATCATTGCATCTCCAAACACATGAGTAAGCAAATCCAGGAACTTGGTTTAGACACTGAATGTGCACAGCTTCAGTTCTTTTTAGATTCAGTATTAAAAGAATCCCTCCCCTTCTGAAGAAGCTTTTTTAGGCCAAGTAGTTACTTCAGGTTTACAGGCTTTCAAGCTGTAAATTTAGTTGGTGAATCAGAAAAGAAAAAAAAAAAAAAAAAAGAAATTCCCACCTTCAAGAGAGAAAATGTCACTATTGAGGTTTCAACCAGTCACACAATTCTAAACACAATCAAAACCTCAAGTGAAGAACAGCTTTCAATGTAACACCACCTCACCTCCTCAAAATAAAACAAAAATACTGAAACTATAAGCAGCACAATTCTTTGCCTGCTTGTTAATGAGTATTTAAACACTATTGCTCTTTCTTAGTTCTACAACTAATTTTGTTTGTTTCAGCACAGTTTTCAGTCAAAGTTATTGCCAGAAAAGTCAAGCATTTCCCTAACTCCATTTTACATCTGCTAGGCCATCCAGCACCAGAGAGTTAATTTCTCTTCTGTTTAGGTCCATCCGCAGCCAAACATGAAACAGTTACACTAGTAAACACAACAGTTGCAACATATGTTGAAGTTCTTACATAAATCAGTAACTTCAGTATTTAATATTTGGCATTTAATTTTCCTAGCTCAAAGTGTTTCAGATTTTCCTGCAGAACATCCAAAATATTAAACATTTCCATTTCAGCAGTTACCAAGCTGAATAAGCCTAAAAAATACAGGCAGTATTGTTCAAAATCCTTTGTTTTTAATGCATGCTTATGTATGTATGGTATCTATGAGTGCTGCAGTGACAATGTAGGAAGCAAAGCTAGAGGACTGTCACTAGAGTGAAGAACAGGGTGTGTGTGGGTGAGAAAATTGGTGCTCTGAGGCATAAAATAATTGTTAAGTCATCACATATGCATGATTATAAGGTAATTCAGCAAAAGGCAGAACATACTCCTGTGCAGTTTATAGGAAAGAATCCCAAATCTCTCAGTGCTCCTGTGAGGCTCCCTTTGCCCTAAGCTATAATCCTGCTCCTAACATTCCTACCGTGTCTGGTTTTATGGACATTAAAGACAATTCATCCTTTGATGCAAATTACTTGTTTAAACAGTTCCAGTTACACAAGAAAATCCCAATACCATACCTAAACACTGTGACCATTCTCTGGGGCAGAAGAAACAGGTATCATTCAAGAGAAAGCATTCTACAGACTCTCCAAAATATTTTCATTTCACAGCCTGCTGCCTAGAAATTCAGCCTCTCATTTATTTCCCAGGCTCTGAGGGAATGTGAACTAACTCCAGCCACCACAGCAGCCAGTGGTGACCCCTCCTAATGTAACACCAAATATATACTGTCGTTCTAGAAATTAATTAATGTGAAGTACTGAGTAAAATCACACTCAGATTCCATCAAGCCAAAGAATGGAGGATGTGAGGTGAGCAGGACTCACTTTTGCTCATTCAGTATTTCTCACAAACCCACACAGAGCTCTCCAAGACATCAGATCTCTGGAACCTTGCCTTCATTTCCAACTTCACACCACGACTCCATGAACATTTTCAGACAACAAACTCACAGCAATGCTCAAAGCAGTGGTTCTGTTTTCTTCCTACCCCCATCACTCGTATTCTACTCCTTCCCATGTCCAAGCACAGATGTTAATGCAGCAAGAATTTAGGGAAATCCCTCCATTAGCTGCAACCTGGGTCATTTCACTGTGCATGAACATTCCCACCTTACACAAGAGACAGGAGCAATAGGGCAGTGAGAAGCAGGAGCTGTGGGCAACAGAAGGTCTTCTCCTGTCTGGCCCTGCTGCTGGCTGCATTCAAGCAACTGCAGGTGCAATTCGTTTTGAATGTCAAAGAGAACATTCAGAAAGATACAGCTAATGGCTTCAGAGAAAGTGGTCTGGATAATGGGAATTCACAGGAGAACTGATGCAAACATCTCAGTGACTGGATTCTGAACAACAGCTCCCCACACACAAATGCAGGCACTCAGAAGAGGCAAGGAATCATGACAGCTGTGCTCCTCCAGTGAAAATGAAACAGCATTTCCTCAGGATAAGCCTCTTCCTTATGCTGAAAACCTTAACTGCTTAGTAAAATCTCAGTTTAATGTATTTCACTGAGGGTAGATATTTACCTGTAAATAACAGCTGCTTGTTCTTTTTGCCATTACTAATTGGTATTATGAAACTATTTTTCTTCCTTAAAAGAACTTCTGCAGCAGTGTTGCACAACAATTTTCGTAACTACATCATAAGAGTCTCTTCTGTTAATAATTTACCACTCAAAACATGCACTGAGGCTTTGAGTGTAAGTATTTCCCAACAGGAACCAACTTCAATTTCCATTTTCACGTCTCTTCTATCAGCAAATTGCCACTTTGACTCCTTGGGACTAGACCATCCTTTTAATGTCCTTGGAATGGGTCTGTAAGCCAATAAAAATTGGCAGTATAATCAAACAAACCTTTTTTTCTATTCAGTAAACTTCTGCAGTGATAAAATTTATGGCAAAGAATCAGATTCTGGTAGGTGGTCTATGCAGTATGTACTCAACACTCAAGAAGTTACAGAAAAGTTACTTAAGAAAAGTTAACAGCAACTTCTAGTAGCATGTATTATATGAGTAACAGAAAGGAAGGCAATTAAACCATATGTCCAACTGCTGAGAAAAGCATGACAGCAGGCTCACAAAAGGATAACAGAGACTTTCAGGCTCTGACTTTGTCTTTCAGATGTTCCGTGAAGCCATTTTTACACTGTGTAAGCATTAATATTCCTTGATGTGGAATATCTTACTGTGTTTTACCAAGCCATAGAAAAGCAAAACAATTCATAAGCCACGCAAAGCTAGATCCTTGAACCAGTAGTTAGTGAAAACAAACCCTCTGGAAGTATCACAGATGTCC